ACTCTTTATATTTAAAATCTCATTCTATTCTTTATTATTTTATATTTATATATTTGTCATTTTAACAAAACAAATTTATTTCAAGTTATGAAAATGTATGAAAATTCTTAATAAAATAAAATTTTCTAAATATCCTATCATTTAGGCGACATTCAAAAATAGATTTTTTACAAAAAGCTTTTATATAAACTTTTGAATCTTAGAATGATTTTTTTTATTTCTCTAAAAAATAAATTTTTATAATTTTTATATACTTTTTTATTAAATAATAATAATAATTATTATTATTATTATTATTATTTAATCTTTTATTATTTTCTTTTTTTATTTAATAATTCTCTTACATCTAAGTAGAACTATTTTTTTTAACACGCTTGTATTCCCTCTAAAATCTAGGTAGGGATTTCAGAATTTTGTTATATATATTTTTTTAAAATCATCATTATTAGTTTTTGCATAAATCTAAAAATATATGGGAAGTAAATTATATTCAAAGAATGGAATTTAAGCGTAAAGAATTAAACTGCATAAAAATTAAAATAGACATTGAAATGTGATCAACAAAGAAAATGAAATTTCATGAAACTTAAATTATAACCAAGCTTAACCAACATAAAAAATGTGCACGAACATGAATAATATGAAATATAAATGAAAATAATATTTTTAAAAAAATTATCAACCTCATGTTTTAAGTATTTGTTTATTAACAAAATAACAATGAAATATATATAACTGGTTTACTCCTCACATGGCTTCCTAAATGCATTTTCTTTTGAATCAAAACTTGTTTGTCAATTACTTCCCAAATAAGTGTAAGCTACAAGAGAAAGTACACCCCATGCAATGCACAAAATAAAGGCTTATACTCCTGTAAATGATGTATGTCGAACCAAAAAATGAAAAATGAAAGAAAAATAAATAGAAACAAATGAACTTAACTCCATGCAACCTTGATATATTAAACAAATGCAAAGGAAATGAAAAGGAAAAACAAGACAAGTTCAACACAAAGCATGAATTTCATGCAAATAAAACCTAATAGAGTTTTAAGTTCATACCAAATTACTTCATACAGAAAAAGGGTACCCCAATTCTTCACATTCCTTTCTTGTTTCCTTTGGCAGCTAGTTTTTCGCTTTATTATTGTTTGTGTTGCAATTTTTTTAAATTCTGTTACTAGTTTTTTCAGCAACTTTCTTATTTTTTTGCTTTTTCAGCTAGTCTGAGTCACCTCTTTGCTAGTGTTTTTTTCTTTTTCCTCCATTTGGTTGGCTACTAATTTGCTTAGTTCTTTTCTTTCTCTTTAATTTTTTACCTAAATGCCTGCTTATCTTTTTTTCTTTTTGCTTGCCATTTTTCGCAACTCTCTTCTTTGTTAATTTTTTTCACCTTTTTTGCCTTTCCCTTCATTGGTTTTTCTCCTCTCTTCCTCTTCCCCATTTTTCTTTTTCTTAGTTTTTCTTCCTTATTTTCTCCACCCAATTGTTTTTTTTCCTAACTTCTTTCTTCTCTTTCGCCAAAAATTCCCCCTGGTTTTCCTCTTACCCAAATTCTCCTCTTTTCCCTTTTCCTTTCTTCAGGTTTCAACTTTTAGTTTTTTCCATACCTTGGATGCCTCTCTTGATTTATGATTTTCCTTTTTTTTTCTATTTTCTCCATAATCCATTCAATTCCACCACTATTCTTTTTGCTATTTTCTGTTTTTCCTCATGTGGCTTCTGCCAGTTTTTTTAATTTTCTTTAGTTTTTCTATTTCCAAAATGCCCTACGTTGTGAGGCCCTCAAACCATGCCTCTTTCTCATCCTTTTGCTCTCATGCACGTGTTCACCTTTGTAGTTTTCTTCTCTTTGCAATTTTTTTTTTTGTTGCCCAACAGCTTTCCACGTTGGCTACCTAGTTTCATGCATGTATTTTGGCCTTTCATATGGTTTTCCTCTTTTTAGCTGAATGGGCTTCTTTAATCTTTGGGTTAAAGCCATGTTTTGTGGGCTTTTATGACTTTATTGTGAGTCAAAGTCCCTTTATAATTTTTATATATATATTTTAATGTCTTTTATATTTTTTAATTATTTTTTATATATTTATATTTTTTATTTTTTATTATATATATTTTATTTATTTTTATTTAATTATTTATATATATATTTTAATGAGCAGTAATGGATCCTTAGTGGGCTTTGAGGATTAATATTTCATCAGACCTTTTATTAGGTTATTTTGAGCTTTCATTCAGAGTCTATATAATGAGCCACACCATGAAATTCACATTGGGTTTCATTTTTTAGCATTTGAAAATGAACTCAAAAAATTGATGATCAAAACTTAATTACAGAAATAAATCCAAATTAAAAAGATAAAATATTTTGAACAAAATTAAATATCTATAATACATAAAGTTTTATATAAGTACATGGATTAATAGTTAGTCTTCAAATTTGATCAATCACATTTTACCTCAAAATTCACTTAATTGTTGATAAGTATATAATATCGATCAAGGGCAATATATGACGGGAAAAACTCGCAAGGTATTTTGAGGTGGAGCTGAAGGGGAAGGGTGATTGACCCGGTCATGTCGAAGCTGTTAAGAGATTGTTGATGAAAATGCCATCTGTTTTGCAGCTTCTTCTTACGCTTCCTGGTGAAAACAGTCCGCAAAAAGTCTCTCAACCATGAAGGCGCCAATTATGGAACCAAAATATTTATTTTTTGCACAATTGTCATGAATATTGTTACCAAAGTATTGCCTTTTCACCCTGTCAAAGTATTTAATTTCCAGGCTTTTTCACACTTTTCGAATCTTTTACATAATTGTTGACTATATATCTTTCTTTAGATAGACAATTTTGCGAGCCTTTTTGCTTTTTTTTTTTTTTTTTTTTTTATAGCTGGCTAATATAGCCTATGGATTACAGTGATATTACCAAGTTTTTGGATTTAATAATAGTTTTATTACCATTCAGATAGTTTCTCTTACTAATATGTGTTCTGATTCATGTTCATTATCCAAATATATTATTACTTTTTAACAATACCAGATTTATTGTGGTAAAAGAGAATAAATAAATATCAAAATGAAAAAAAATTTAGGTGAAAGAAAAAAAAATGTTTACTACTTATATAATATCTTTTTTTCATTGGATGCTTTTGCTCGAATGAATGTGTGAATAATTTAAAAAAAAAAAAACTAACTAAAAAGATATTTACTAATTACTACCATGATTTAGTTTCGGCTTTGTGCCAATTCTCTTATTGGGCTAGTATCATTTGATAGTGATATCAAATTTAATAAAAAATTTTATTATTATTATTATTATTATTTTACTTAAATATATATCCATTAGCTATATCACCAATTTTTTACTCTCATTAATTTTTCCAATATCATTAATTTACTTATATTGTTTTACTATCCATTTTGTCCATAATTAGATAATTTATAGGGAAAAAAATGTCAAATTACTTCATACTATGTGCTAGTTTGCATTGGTGTTATGATTGGAAATGCTTGTGTAAGAAAAATGCAAATAAAAATTTTAAGTGTTTGATATTACTATAGCAAAATGCTGTTAATAAATTTTACCAACGAAATTAAAAAATTAACACATATTTTACTTATTTTTTATTTTTTTCATTTTTAATATATTTTAAAAGACATATGTCACCTTACTAACCTCACATATAGAATTTAAAAATTTTACAATAAATATATTCGATAATTTCTCATCTAAGAATAAAAATATATAGATAATATAGTGATTTTCTATAACAAATGCATTTTTTAAAAATTGAAAAGCCATATTTTTTTTATTGTTTAGTATTGAAATTTGATCAAAAAGCAACTTTTAAACACAAAAATTAGTTTCAACAACAATATTAAACTAGACTTAAAAAAAAATCTTCACCCTATACTAGTCATTCATAAAAATATATGAACTCAGAACAAAAATCAAGAAGAATACTGGTTCTAAAAAAATCATAAAAGGTTAACTTTGTTAATATAAAAAAAAAAAAAGGGAGAATTTAAGAAATTTTTTATCTTTTACTTTTAAAAAAACTAAATTATCTTTATTTAATATTTCGATTCAATAAAGTGTATTGGTCAAAACACAAGATTTCTATCCTCTCATCCCAAATAATTTTTTTGATCGTAATTATCTTACATTGCAGGTTGCATAAAAAATTATGTAAATGATTCTTTTTAATATCTAATATCTAACAAAAATTACAAAAATAATATTCCGATTTTTTTATGAAAATAATTAAAAAGAAAACATAATTTTTTGTATTTCTTTCACCTATCCATTTATGATCAAATTTGACCATTGTGATCGAACACAATACTAATTGTATTGTCAAACAAAGTTTTAGTAATTTAAAATTAATCAGAAGGATCTACTCAATTATTTTTTGACCAGGGACAAAATATAACATTTGTTAAAATCATGACAATTTTAACACGCATTGAATCCAATATAATTAATACTCCCATGCACCCTAACTCTCTCGTGTAGTCCAATTTACCGTAAAAGTGAGTTTTATGCTCCAGCCAACTTTCATAGACATCCACATCAATATGCTACTTGTTAGAACCACGGCAATTTAACAAGCGTCCAATTTTATATAACTAATATTATAGTAAGAAGCACCTACTCGATTTTTTTATTATTTCTTTTTATTTGTAAAATTTTCAATTATGATTGTGTACCATTTTTTTTTCTAATAACTGATCTATAATTATTTTTAACTCTTGCTTGTGTACTTGTAATCCCACCGTGCATAATTGGATAATTTAGAGAGGAAAAAAAAAAGGTCAAATTACTCCATACTAAGAAGAAGAAGAAGAATTTAGCACTATTATTGCTTTTTCAATTTTAAAATACTAAATGATCTTTAATTAATCGTTCGATTTCAATAAAGAATAGTGGTCAACCCAAGATTATCTTCTTATCCAAGAGAATATTTCGATACTTATCTCACATAGATTACAGCTAAATATTCGGTATTCGATGTCAATATATAGATATGTAAACTGAAAGTTGCTTTACAATTGCTTTCTCTCTTGTTGCTTCCTTTTGAAAGCAAACATGAAAAAAAAAATGGTCCGTCAATCTTTTATCTGGATTTTGGTGCTCTTTTCACTATGTGCTGCTGCTATGTGTAAAGTTTGCACCAACCATAACACAGAGATTGCAGGGAATTTGAGACACGCAGCTGCTGCCCCTTATCATGGTCGGTCCGCCAATGTTTCCAACTTAGACGAGTTCAACTGGGATAAGGTGAAGCAAAAACTAGAAAGGTTTCAAGTGCCCGGTGATTTTCTCAAAGAAATACCATTGCAGGCTGTGAGATTAGATCCCAAAGGGATTCACGGACGGGCACAGCTTACGACTTTAGAGTATTTATTGATGTTGGATGTGGACCGCTTGGTTTGGAGTTTTAGGAACACTTCTGGCCTTCACACACCGGGGACATCCATATGGTGGCTGGGAGGAACCAACCGGTGACCTCCGTGGACATTTTGTAGGTCTGTGCAATTTTTAATTCCACTTTTAAATATTGCGATCATTTATTATACAAGTTTAAGTTTGTTTTCATACATATGGTCAATGAAATCTTATTTTAATGGTAAGCGTTTAGGGTTTCTCATTTCATCTCACCGTGAGTGATTTTGGTTCGGTTTTATGTTGGATCTCATGAAACAATATATCAATTTCTTGGTTTGTTTGTTTGGTTTATTCATTAGTTTCTTACACTATACTACTTTAATAAGTTGTGATACAGACATAGCATTCTTCTATGTATTATGGATTTTTTAGGGCATTATTTGAGCGCAACAGCATTGATGTGGGCAAGTACAAAGAACGAGAGTCTCTACAAGAAAATGTCTGCAGTTCTCTCAGCATTGTCCGAGTGTCAGAAGAAATTAGGCACTGGATATCTGTCTGCATTTCCCTCGAAGCAATTTGATGATGTTGAAGCTCTTAAACCATGTTGGGCTCCATATTATACCATTCATAAGGTATGTATGTTAATTCCCTTTTCTTTTCTTTTCTTTTTTTTTTTTGTTACATTTTAATTCATATGAAATGTTTAATTAATTAACAAGAGAAATACAAAATTATAGATAATGGCAGGTCTTTTGGATCAGCATACGATTGTCGGAAATCCTGAAGCATTGAAAATGCTAATACGGATGGTTGATTACTTCCACAAACGTGTCGTGAATGTGATATCCAAGTACAGTGTAGAAAGACATTATCTAATACTCAATGAAGAGCACGGCGGCATGAATGAACTTCTTTATAGATTATACAGCATTACGGTACTTGTAAAATCTTTAACTCTTTAATTATAATGAACTTACATTTCATTATTTTTTGTAATTGAAATTGTAATTGTAGCGAGAACCAAAGCATTTTCTACTGGGTCGCCTTTTCGACAAACCATGCTTTCTAGGAGGCCTAGCCTTACAGGTTTGTGACTCACCACATCATATTAATTACATCGTGCATGCATGCTATTGCTTGGTTCTTTTTCTTTGTGTAGTTTAGTTGCGGAATACTTTTCAATTTTCTTATATTAGGAGGACGAGATATCCGGTTACCACGGAAATACACATATCCCTATTGTCATTGGATCTCAAGTGCGATATGAAATTACTGGCGAACCACTCTATCAGGTGTGTAAATTTGATAAGATGCTTACATTCTATATATATATATAATGGAAGGATGGAAGGAGAAATTAGGAAGAGGAGAGGGAAGCGAAATGGAGAAGGAAATGATTTTTTCTTCTAATCACTGATTGGAAAATTCAGGAGAAAAACAATTGTTTTTGGCGAAATTGCAAATTGGATAGTTGAATTTATTTGTGGAGGAGTTAAATTTTAGCATTTGGAGATGTGAAATGCATGCCTCCTTTTCTATTTATGTTTTCTGGTAATTACTTTGTTTTATTACTACTTAAATATATAGGTCCAAAAAGATAAAAGAAAAATCAGCAAATGATATATTTGTTGACAATTTTGAGTTTGGTATATCTAGGCAATAGGTAGCCATTTCATGGACATTGTAAATTCTTCTCACTGCTATGCCACAGGAGGGACAACCGTCAGAGAATTTTGGTAAGATTAACATCTCTGTTATAGTCTCTATAATATTAGTTCTCTTGGTCTTGCGTATAGTGTTGTTCATCTTCCGTTGTTTGAATTGATGAGCTCAGGACTGATCCTAAGCGGTTGGCAACAACCCTAGAGACACAAAATGAAGAAACATGTACAACCTATAACATGCTAAAGGTATGGCATTGGCATCATTCAAATAATAAATGTTACACTTTTGAAATCGCAGAAGAAGAATTCTTTGATCAGCTTTTTGTGACTGAATTATATTATAGGTATCTCGGCAACTGTTTCGATCGAGCAAGCAGATTGAATATGCAGAATACTATGAACGTGCATTAACAAACGGTATTCTAAGTATTCAGAGAGGAGAACCAGGGCTTTATATCTATTTTTTCCCGCAAGGTCGTGGTGTCTCCAAGGCCATAAGCAAATGGGGATGGGGAACACCCTTTAATGCTTTTTGGTGCTGCTATGGAACAGGTCACTGCATGCAGCCTGGCTCCCTTTTTTTATCCGCTTTTTGTTTTATATTTCAATCCCTGAAACCAAAAGCTAACTATTGATATACCAATGATCGATCGTGAAGCCGTTGAAACTTTCGCAAAGTTGGGAGATTCCATATACTTCGAAGAAGGAGGATCTACTCCCACGCTTTACGTCATTCAGTTTATATCAAGCTTTCTTCAATGGAAATCTGGAAACACAGAGATTCACCAGATAGTCCATCCTGTTTCTTCGTGGGATCCACATTTAAGAGTGGAAATAACTTTCCCTAAACAGGTAGGCATAAGATAATATTAATTCCACACTTTTGATCTGTCCCTTCTCCAATCAATGATTTGCTTTTGGGATCCTGATTTACTACAGGGGACTGCAAATGAAGTCGTCTTGTATGTACGCGTGCCTTTTTGGTCACCTTCAGTTGGTGCTAAAGCAGCAATAAATTATCAACATTTGCCTCTTACAACTCCAGGTCCAAAAATTACTTAAGCTCCGTTTGTTTGATTTCTTTTTTTCTTTTTTCTCGTTGTTTTTTATTAACTAAAAGCAAAAGTATCAATATAAAAAAGAATAGAATTTTGATCCATTTGTTATGAGCTTGTTAAATTATGCTATCTAATATTTCCAATGCAGGTAGTTTTCTTTCAGTCACTAGGAAATGGAATTCTGGTGATAAGTTGAGTCTTCAGCTACCAATTACTCTAAGATTGGAGCACATTCAAGGTTATCTCTTCGTATATTTTGATTGATTGGTAAGAAAAATTAACAACTCAACTGCATGATATGACATAATAATAACTTGAAACACAGATGACAGACCGGAGTATGCCTCTGTTCAAGCAATACTATTTGGCCCATATCTTCTTGCTGGTCTCAGCAATGGTGATTGGGATATCAAAATTGCGAAAGTAATTTCTCTTTCAGACTGGATAACTCCAGTTCCTCCAACTTACAATTCCCATCTAGTTTCGTTCTCCCAATCCATTGGAGGCAACACTTTTGCCTTATCAAAGAATGATCAATCGATGATAATGCAGACTTATCCTCAACCTGGCACCAACACATCAGTGAATGCCACATTCAGGCTCGTCATAAATGACCCAAACTTCAAAGGATTTTCCTCAATAAAAGATGTTATAGGAAAAGCAGTTGTACTAGAACCATTTGATCTTCCAGGAATGGCAATGGGACACCAAGGAGCAGATAAGAAGCTTGTGGTTATAAACGCTGCCACTGCCAATGGGCGTTCCACTTTCCATTTGGTGTCAGGCTTGGATGGAAACAACAATACAGTTTCTTTGGAAGCAGATAGTAAAATGGGTTGCTTTGTGAACAGTGGTTTAACTGCTTCCGCCAACTGTACTTCATGTCCAAATGTGAAGCTTACCTGCAACCCCTCATTGCTGGAATCTAAACAGGCAGCCAGCTTTTTGTTATCGAAGGGCGTTAGTGAATATCATCCCATCAGCTTCGTGGCCAAAGGAGCGACAAGAAGTTTTCTTCTACAACCTATACTTAGCTTAAGGGATGAGCATTATACTGTTTATTTTAGTATTTCACCTTAGTTATATTGTCAAACTTATTTTTATTCTTTTTTTTGTAGATTAAGCTGAAATTTGTGGTTAAATTGAATTTTAATTTTGTTAATATATTTTCAATTTCATTATTTTTTTTTACACAAAGTAATTGAAATATATAATTAATGTAAGTAGCAAATATTGGTTTTAAAGTTTAGGGTTAAAAAATAATAAAAATTAAAAGTGTAATGATGAAATTTAATATTGAATTATAATGTAATGATAAATCCTAATCTTAAATCTCTTCTAAAATTTAAAAAAAATGAAAGCATTACCACTCGTGTGTAAAATCTACTCAAACCTCACTCAATTTTATATAATGCACCTACGCCACTCACCCTTTTGCCACCTTTACTTTTTAATTGGCTTGGCAAATGGACCGAACAGATATCAAAAAAAGGCTTACCCTAAAGTCTACTCACTAGTGAAAAACTTGATTTTGAATAAATGTTGAGCATTGAGCTTTGCAATGGTCAACTATGTTATATAACATCTTTCATGTACAAATGTAAAGGAAAAAAACCAAATGAACGCAAGTATTTTACTTATAATTTTCTGTTATGATTGTAGTAAAGATTTAAGCTTGACTGCTTGTCTTTCCTGTTGATGCCGCATTCATGTCTATTGATCTGGTCTTTCACAACACAATTGGGATTGAACTTAGTGGAATTTCATTTATATATTGTTGTGAAAAATAGTATTTCCCAATACATAGATGGGAGTGTAAAAAGTGAGTAAAATGGGACTTTTTATTGCACTTTCAATATATAGAGTATGAAAAAAATTTATCATTTTCACTCATATTAAATAATGAATATTTTATAACAAACCACTAACCAATTATTCCACTTAATTTAGGTTGGACGAGCAGTGATATTGAAAAAAATAATAATGGTGAGATTAATAATCAAGTAGCGAGATTGAGAGTTACAGTGATGAGATTTAAATCAATATGAAATATAATGTATTCAATAAAAACAATCATATGCGAGAGGTGAGAAGTGAGGAAAAAAATGAAGAAATTAAGTTGAAAGGATATAAATAAATTATTTTAGTATATAAATTTTAATAAGTAATGTTGAATAAAAATATTAACATAATAAAATATTATTAGTTAAGTTAATATAATTCTTAATATAATAATTAGTAAAAAATATTTTATATTATAAATAATAAAATAATGATTATTTTTAAATGTAAAAAATTTCTATTTTGGCTTTTTTACTATAATTAGTAAGAGTAAAAAAAGAGAAAAAACAATAGCATGAGCAAAATATAAAGACTAAATTTTAAAATTTGGTAGGATATTTGCATATTCTACGTTATCAAGTATAAATCTGACAAAAAAAAAAATCAGGAGTTTAAAAGAAAATCTCCAGTGTATGAGGCTGACTGTAGCTTCCTCCCATGGTGCGTTTAGCACCTAATAAACTGGCCCCTCAGTGCGATGTGAACCAAAAGCGAATCCAAATTTTTTTAAGATATACACTTATAATTATATATATATATATATATTAAAAAGAAAATTTTAAATAATATATTAATATATATTATAATTATTCAAAGTTTTCACATTTAAAAAATCATAATTGTATTATTATTAAGCAATCATTTAATAAAAAATCATTATTTATATTATCAAAATTTATTTCAACAAATTTATTGATTCTTTCGATGAAAAAATATATATAAAATTTTTAAAATTTTCAAAATTTGCATCCAACACAGCTGTGAACAAATCAAATATTGATGCTAGATGTAGGCCGAACTGTATGCAATGGCACAATTGTACAAAATAGTGGTCATCGGTGCTAGCTATTAACAAACTCCAAAACCTATGTTAGAGGTCTGTTCACTTATTTTCAACGAGTTTCAGTCAAAAGCAAACGGGCTCTGATTTAAGTTTTAAATTTGAGCTGTCAACTCATTATCGTCGGAAAACCATAATATTCACAATTAAATGTTGACTTTGTTGAACAAATAATCAGCAGATAGTGGGAATTTATAGGTTTTACTGATCTCTTGTTTTGATTCTTAAGTGATGTGGGATTCATTTAAGTAGTAGAAGAAGTCTAACAGATGAAGAGGATGGGAACATGTAGGCTTTATCTATCCCTTGTTTTGGTTCATAATCGATGTGGATTCATTTGTTTATGGACAAATATGCAGCAGTGGAATAGCATGAGACCTATCCCTTCTTTTGGTTGTTAAGTGATATGGGATTCAAAATATGCAGCAAAGGAAGGAAATGGGAATTTATACAGTTTACCCGTCCCCTTTTTTTGGTTGTTAAACAATGTGAGATTCATTATATAAGCACACATGCACAGTAGAGGAAGAGGATGGGAATTTAAAAACTTTACCCATCCCCTGTTTTGATTTTCTGCAGATATGGGATTGTTTAAAATAGGTTACAATTCTTTCCAACTTCTTTCAAAGTTATTATCCAATTTTTATCCAATTTTTAAGGATTAAAAAAAGTTATTTAGTAATAATATTTTTAAAAAATTAAAAATTATTTTGATCTATGTCATATATAATTTTTAATGATATAAATTTTATATGATAATTTGTAGATTGATAAAAGATATTAAATCTAAAATAAATCAACTTTTAATGTTTAAAACAAATTTTAATCAAATTTATTCATGAATATTAAACGAACTTGTTCACGAACATAAATGAACCAAACAGACATTTATTTTTGTTCAGTTCGTTTAACAAACGAATATAAAAATGCTATTCAAAATCGTTTGTTAAACTTAATAAATGAATACAAACAAACAAAAACCGAACATATTCACGAATAGTTTGTCGAAAGCTTTGTTCATTTACACCCTTACTATTCAATGAGTACTACAAGTAATTTAGGTTTTGTTTGTAGAAAATAATTTTGGAAAAATAATTTTTATATTTTTAAGTATTTATTTGATAAAAATTTAATTAAATAATGTAAAATAATTTACTGATCAACAAAAAAAAAGGTAACTTTTTTGCAAATTATCTTTTCCTTTTCAAAAAAAGAAGATAACTTTTGAAAAAGAACTCTTTATGAGTAGAATTATTTATCAATATATATAAATATAATTTTACTTAAATCAGACCTTATACATTATTTTAAGTTCAAGTTTAATTTGACCATATCCAAAATATTATTATATTAATAAATAATATTTTTATTTAATTTTATTTTAAAAATTAAAATATTAATATTAAAAGTCTCTTAACATTTTAATTTTAAATATTTTTATAATTCTATTCAAGTAAGACTTTGAACATAATATTTTAAACTCGAACTTGATTTGATTCGGCTTAAAATATTATTATTTTAATAAAAATATTTTATTTAATTTTAATTAAAATATTAAAATATTAATATTAAAAGTATTTTAATATTTCAATTTTAAATATTTTTATTTTGTATGTTATTTAACATAAATACTTTTAATATTTCAATAATAAATAGTATTATATTATTATTTTAATAATAAATAATAACATATATAATAATATTTTATTATTTTAATAATTAATGTTAGATAATACAATAATTTTTAAAATTTAACTTACACAAAATTTAAAATTTCAACTAATTCACAAGTAGTGCATTATGAGATAAATTTTTATCAAAAAAATAAAATTTTAAATAAAAGCCATGCTTAAAATTGTTCATGCATCACATGATATCAATAATTTAAATGTTTATTTAAGTGTGATCCAACAAAATTATTTTGATTTTAAATTTTATCCAAATTCACCCAATTGATAAATTACAACAGTCATGTCTTGTTTAACTCCGATCAAACATGTTCAAATCTTTCAAATTTTTGAATGAGCTTTAGATTTAAACGAATAGTTAAACTTTTGAACATATCTAGTCATGATATTTGCTTTACAATTTTCGCTCATATATTTATGTTTCCTAACATAAAAGATAAATTTAAAGCTGAGATCTATCAATTCATTTCTCCTGTTTTATTTTTCAACACTTTCTTAAATTAAGAAATAATGAGTAATAGTTAAGTTAATTTGTTATTCAATGGTAATTTTTTTTAAGGGATAGTAATGTTTTAAAATGGCTAAACAGAACAAAAAAAGGTAAAAAGTAAAAGAAAAAAGTTAGATAAAATATATTAATAAGGAGAAGAAAAGTTTGAAAATGGAGCGTTATTTTGGTTCTATAAAAAGGAAGATAACAGTTGCAAACAAAAATAACGAAGTCTTGAATCATAAATTATGGCACTCTTATGACTATTGATTACATTTTTCTATGCATGACAAAATCTTATGTTGGGATCTGTACAAATATATAAAAGCAATCCCCATGTTGTACAACAATTGGCCCCTTCATTTATGGGCTTTTCAATTATTTTTTTTGGCATGAAAACAAAATGCACCATTTTGCTTGAAATCGATGGAAAAAGAATGAATAAAAAAAAGAGATGAGAAAGAAAGAATTCTAGAGACTTTTGGAAATTGGAGAGATGTAAGAAACTCTAGAGACTCTAAAGATAAACGAAGAAAAATAAGTAGAGAGTGGAGAGAAAAGAAAGAAAAATGGAAAGAGAGAAAGAGACAGAGAGAGAGAGAGAGGGTATGAGATGAGAGAAGATCGACTTGGATGAAAGATGAACAAAAAAAGAAAAGAAAAAAGAGATAGAGAAGAAGGACAGACAATAAGCTAAGTCACTGATGAAGAAAAAAACAAAGAAAGTTAGAAAAATGCCAGCAAAAAATGGTTAATAATTCTTAATAATTTTATGGCATCTTTCATTTTTCATGTTTTAGTTTTCTATTATCTTTGATTTTTTTTCCAATTTCTCTTTTGATTTGATTTTTTTTATTTACAAATTTTGTCATAGAGGAAAAGCTTGACAGCTTTTTTATGATTCATCAGCTAGTTTTTATATTTTATGATTTCTATTATCATTGGGTTTTTGAATAATTTTGTTTTCCATTTGATTTTTTCTTTTGTATTTATAGATTTTTATTTTTTTTAATGATTTTATTTT